GGTGCACATTGGCAGGGAGCTGGATTCGAAGCAGAGCAGTCAGGATTCAAACTCAGGTACTCAAAGAGAATGCGTGTATCCCAAAGGACCGCTTGACTCCCAACACCGCATCGCAGGACCCATTTTTAGGATGCACTGCTACACACTGAGCGTCCCCAACACCAGCCAGAGTGACCGGAAACCCTGAAACTTTTTGAAGTCACCAGGGAAAAATGCTACAACAGGAAAACTGCTTCCCCCATCAAGCTTTTTCAGGGTGTAGCCCATCAGCTGAGGTCCAGGCATTGCCCGCAAGCTGAAGGCCAGATGAATGACCTTAGCTCATCACGCACATGCAAATATTCCAAATTATGTGTGTGTGTGTGTGGTGGGAGAAAGGAGGACAGTGCTGTGGTGTGGTGCACTAAGCCTCTGTCTGCAGTGCCTGCATCCCATGTGGGCACTGGTTCCTGTCCCGGCTGCCCCACTTCCCATCCAGCTCCCTGCCTTTGGCCTGGGACAGAAGCGGAGGACGGTCCAAAGCCTTGGGTGTGTCAGGGGTCCCTGGAGGTTGGGAGGGACACACACTATCCCAGAAGGCGTCACTGCCACGCGGGTCCTGTAGGTTCCACTTTACAGATAAATTGATGCCCGGAGCTTTCATTTTGGGGGGGGTATGTTGTCTATAGTGTTAGAAAGTGAGTCATGGTTGGATGGGGGATAGCCCCCCCCACGGTTACAGCTTGATTCCCCCCCAAACTCGCTCAAGGCATGAGGCTGCAGACTTGGACACCAAGCCCGCGCTCCAGGCCCGGTTCCCCAGGGGTGCGTCTGGTCGCAGGCCTCCTGGGCACCCCCTCCTTCCACGTGGCCACGTGGAGAGGACCCGGCCTCGCCCCCTCCACGTGGGGAGGCCCCGGAGTCCACGCCACCGCCCGGGGGCAGGGGGAGGGACCGGTTATTTTGTTTTATTATTATTTTTTGCCGCCTGCCTGGTCCAAGCCGCCGCCCGGGCGACCGGAAACGAGCACGCGGCCGCCCAGTGTGGGAGCCGCGGCTGCTGGAGGGCGGCCGGGCCTGGGGGAGCGCGCGCACCCCCGGGCCTTCGGGTCCCCTTGGATCCGTGGTGCCTCCCACCCCTTCTCTGCCCCCCACCCACCTCGGGGCTTCTGGAGGGCTTGGGGTCCCTGGGGAGGGGGCAACAGGACGGGGACCCCCCCCCACAGACACACGCTTTTCCTCCCCCGGTGGGCGCTCACGCAGTGTTGCGGGATGGGGAACGGGGAGAGGCCCCCTCGCCGGCCCCGCCCGCCGCCACCATTGTTTACCCACCGGGCGGCCTCCTTAGAAACTTAACCCGTCCGCGGTCATTTTTATTTGGGAACTTCGGCCAGTTGCCATAGCAACCCTCCCGTGACGTCAGAGGGGCTGAGGCCCGAAATCCCCGAGAAAGTGTGTGTGTGTCTGTGTGTGTGTGTGTGCGTGCGCGCGCGCGTGCGTCGGCATGGGGGCGGGGAGGCAGGGCAGGACGCCGTGTTGGGGGTCCAGGGGAAGGGGGAGAAGAGGGAGACCCCCCACCCTGCACGTGTCAGCCGCCAGACCGCAAAGTGGAGGTGACCCCGAGGGCGCCGCTCTTGTCCTGCGGGGTCTCGATGGGGTGGCCTCCATGCCCTCCACGGGGAGCCCTGAGCTACCCCGGCCTGGGCAGCTGATCCCAGCCGGCTCCCCCTTACTCCTGACAACCTGGACCCTTCCCTGGGGAGGGGATTTGGGGTGCCCGCAGATTCCACTGCCCCCCACCCCACCAAGCCCTGAAGGGGGCGGTCAGAGTGGCCCCTGCTGCGGCTCCGGGTCCGGCTGGACGGAAGGGCTGGTGGTGTCCTTCCCCGGATGTGGGCAGTGACGCCGTCGGCCTCCCGGAGGGGGTGGGTGGGTGATGCTGACTGGGATGTGCGCTGGGATCCCTGCCCCCCAAGCCCCGTCCCATAACACAGCCGGTTGCCAGGACGACGGGAGGCGGGGCCCTGAGTGGCAGGGGCGAGGAGGGCTCCCCGTCCCGCTAACGGTGGGCGGGGAGTGGGCGGGGCAGGTCTAACCTCAGTGACGTAGCACTTCCTCCCCAGGCCCTGTTTGATGTCTCTGTGTGTGTGGTTGCCATGGGGCCCGGCGGCTGGCAGCCCTGCCCGGGAGCCCACTCCCCGCTCCAGCACACACACCCTGGGTGACCCTGTGAGGGGTGCAGGCCCAGCCCACTCCCCGCTCCAGCACACACACCCTGGGTGACCCTGTGAGGGGTGCAGGCCCAGCCCACTCCCCGCTCCAGCACACACACACACACACCCTGGGTGACCCTGTGAGGGGTGCAGGGCAGACCCAGCCCACTCCCGGCTCCAGCACACACACCCTGGGTGACCCTGTGAGGGGTGCAGGGCAGACCCAGCCCACTCCCCGCTCCAGCACACACACCCTGGGTGACCCTGTGAGGGGTGCAGGGCAGACCCAGCCCACTCCCGGCTCCAGCACACACACCCTGGGTGACCCTGTGAGGGGTGCAGGGCAGACCCAGCCCACTCCCCGCTCCAGCACACACACACACACACACACACACACACCCTGGGTGACCCTGTGAGGGGTGCAGGGCAGGGCCTGGGTGCACCCGTATCCCCCTACCTGCCCAATGTTTTGGAGCTTGGCCTCGTGGCCACTGCCAGGGGTGGTGGTTCTCCCACCCCCACTCTGGGTGAGCTGGTCAAGTTCAGAGCTGTGGATGTGTGTGGGATGTGGTCATTTGGCCAAAGACGTCCACCTAGAAAGTCCAGCACCGAGTCTGCCCCTCCACCTCACCTCCCACACCCTGCCAGGCTGACCTGGTGCTGTGGATAAAGAAGCCATATGCGTACCAAATGGGTGCCAGTTCATGTCCTGGCTGCCCCACTTCCCATCCAGCTCCCTGCTTGTGGCCTGGGAAAGCAGTGGAGGACGGCCCAAAGCCTTGGGACCCTGCACCCGCGTGGGAGAGCCGGAGGAGGCTCCTGGCTTTGGATCGGCTCAGCTCCATTGTGGACATCTGGGGAGTGACACGGTGGATGGAAGATCTCTCTGTAACTCAGCCTTTCAAATAAATCCTAGCCCCCTACTCCCACAAGGCTTTGCTCAGACCTCACGGAGATGCATCCCCACCCTGGCCACCATCCCACCCCAGGCCTGCTGACCCCAATACACACACAGCCGTCTTGACGCCTGTCCGCCCGTGTAGGGGCAGCTGTAAGCAAGTGGTGACCAGTGGCAGGGATCTTGCCGCCTGCCTAGTTCTGTATTCACTCAATAAATGCTGAGTGAATACACAGGGTGTGTGTGTGTGTGTGTGTGTGCGCGCACGCCCTCTGCCTCTTGACCTGTCTTCACCCCAAGTTCTATCATCTCCTCACCTTCTTGGCCGTGACCTGCTTGGGGGAAGGGGAGAAAGAGGATCAAGAAGGAAGGAAGGAAATGGTGAGAACCATTTACAAGGGAACTTCCAACCAGGGCAGCCCAGGCGGCCGGCATGGAGGAGGCAGCATGATCCCTCCCCCTCCAGCCACTCATCCCTACCGTGTGCCCGAGTGCAGTAATGAGTGGGCCACGAGTGTGTGCGTGTGTGTGCGCGCGTAGGGGTGCCCCACCCTGAGTTGGGGAATTCTGTGCCATCCCCAATCCTCCCCCAGGGCCCCAGCGGGCAGGAGGCTCTGCCCCCTCCTGCCCCAACCTGCCACGTCCTGTAGCCCCGACTAGCCTGCCCCTTGGGGCTCCACCGTGGCAGCGCTGGATGAAGTAAGATCCAGGAGCCCTCCACCCCACCCCGACCGACCAGGCTAGACCCCTCTTCTCTGTGTCACCCCAACCAACCCAAGTCCCATCTAGGCTGAAGGTACCTATAGACCACCCCAAGAACAGGGACCCTGTGTGTATCGGGGGAATCTGGGGTTCCAGGTGACAAAGGAGTCCAACCAGTCACTCCAGTGTCAGGCCTGGGCATGCTGGGGTAACCCCCTCCCCTGGGGTGCTTCAAAAGGGGAGATTACTTCTTCCCACCAAGGAGGAGCTGAGAACCCCAATTATTGCAGTTTTGGGGGGACCCTGGTGGGAGTGGAGGATCACCTGAGGTGCCAGCGGTCCACTACCCTTTGTCTTGGCTTGAGGAACCAAGCCCCCCTTAATTGAATCTTGTCCCAGGACCACCCCCCACCCCTGCCCCGCCCTTGCCCGCACCCCCTCCACACACACACCTGGGCACGGGGCCAGGCCACAAGGCAGGCCCGTCAGTCCCTTCCTTCCTTAGGAAACAGTGTGGCCCTGTTCCTCCCTGCTGGAGAGAGGATGAGGAGGGAGACACGGTGTGGGCTCAGGGGGGCTGGGGGGCAGAGTTCTCCAGGATGTATGGCAGAGGATCAGACTTGGGGACCCTCGTGTGAGAGCTCCAAAGTATTCGGAAAGCAGCACGCACGGTTTTGAGTGGGATAACAGGAAGGACTTCCAGGATGGTGTGTGTGGGGGGGGCTCTAGAGCCTGGGTCTGACTCCCTCCCTCACCGCTGCTCCCCAACATCTCCAATGGTGCTCACTTTCAGAAGCAGGAAATAGCCACTCAAAAGGGGTTCCAGGAATGGGAGGAGAAAGAGAGATGGTTGGGACCCCAGGAGCCCGCGACCCCCTCTGCTCCACACCCCAGCCACGCGCAGCGTGGTCCTCAAACAGCAAGTTCAAGGATCTCTGGGGAGTCGGGGTGGGGGGCTGGGGAGGACGGGGGTCCGAGTCGATCTGGGATGGATGGGTAGGGGGCGCGCACGTGTGCCGGAGTTGGGGTGTGAGAGCGCAGGGACCAGGTCCCGAGGTGGGGGGCGGGCCGGCTGCTCCAGGGCGCCCGACGGCGGCAGCAGCGACGGGCCCGCCCCGGGCCGGGCAGGGGGCGGGCACGGGGCGGGGAAGGAGAGACAGGGAGGTTTTAAAGGCGCTCGGGGGGCCCAGCGGCGGGCCGGCCAGGGAGTGGGGCGGAGCGCGGGCCGCTCCCGTACCGGACTCGGGGTCCCCCCCAACGCCTTCTCCGCCGCCGCCTTCGCCTGCATCTCGGAGACAGGCCGAGCGCCGAGTACCCCGAAAGTGCCCAGCGAGTAAGTTGGGGTGCAGCGGGCGCGGAGGAGGGTTCGGGAGGGTGGCAAGGACGGGAACAAGCGAGCAAAGGCGGCCACGGCGGCGCCAACTTTCCCGCGCCCGCCGGGGGCCCGCGGGGCGGGTGAGCGGGGTGCGCGCCTTGGCTTCTGGCAAAGAAGGGGGCGCCGCTCGTGCGCCCTGGCGTTGGCGGCGCAGGGTTCCTGGGAGGCCCGGCCTCAGCCTTCCTTTCCTGGCCCTGTTTGAGGGTGGCCTCCTCTGCCCTCCTGCCTCCTTCGCTGTGTCCCCACCGGACACGACGACCCTCCTTACCCCTACCCCGGAGCGGCTGGGAGGAGACCCCCGCCACCGTGTCCCGGGCCAGGTTCAGGTAGACAAAGTGGAGACGGTTCGGATCTGGCTGGGGCTTGCACTGGGGGCACTGGTTGTGCTGGGAGGGAAGGGTCCTCAGCTGTGTGCACCACCTGAACCTGTGGGATAGAAGAATGAATTCGGGGGATGGGGAAGAGATTTCCCAGAGGTTTTTTTTTTTGGGGGGGGGCAAGAGTGGCGTAAGTTCTTGCCTGGAGTAGCGACGTCTCCATAGCCTTGTAGCCCAGTCAAGGTTGCCTATGAAGGGGGGCCTGGCTTTGGGGGTGGCGAATGTTTCTGGAGGGGCTAATGGCCCAAGCCTGTGCCTCGCTTAGGGTCGCCCTGCCGTGCCCTCTCGAATAAGCTGCTCCCAGCTCAGCCCAGCCACCTCCTCAGAGCCTTACAATGTCCTCGTGTCACCTGGCACCACCACCAGCCACCCCCCCACACACTCCATGCTTGTCCCAACTGTGACAAGAGGGGGTGGGCGTTGCTGGAGGAAGGTGAAGCTGGGGGACTCTGGCCACCACCCCCCAGCGTCCCGTGGCACGCCAGCCCAAGCTGGACAGGCAGTAGCGACAGGTGCCCCGGCTTTAAGGTGAGCTGGTGAGACACACCCTGGCCCTGGCACATGCGTTCACACGCTTGCTGTGGCTGTTGTCCTGACGGCTCTGTCCTGGCCTCTGCCAGAGGGTGCCCCCCTTACACCTCAAGACCCTGCCCTCTCTGTCTGCCCCCCTCCCCACTGGAGGCCCTAAAATAGCTGTGGGCCCGGCCAGAGCCTGGCTGGCACGGGGAATACATGCGTGACAGGGCGTGTCCGGGGAGGGAGAAGGCCGGGCCTGTCTGTGCTGGCCCCGGGCTGCTAAGGCTCCCACATTTTTCTCACTTTGCTGGAGAAAGACAGCAAAGAAGAAGCAAGATTTCAACCCCCCCTAACTTCCCAGCCAGAGAGAGGGGACCCCATACCCGCTGTGCCCACCTGAGCGGACTTAAGAATGGTTGGCCACTATCTGAGTGACCCGCTGGTCTCTTCCTTGAAATTTTTTTTGTTCTTGTTTTATTTTCCTGGTTGGGAAGGTAGGGTGCAAGGATTTGGGGTGTCTGTCCTGTAGCAACTCCCTCAAAGCTGGCTTTCCTTGTCACAGACTTCCCGGCCTCAACTTTTCCATCTGTCAAAGGGGCCCGTTGGGAAATGGGCTGGAGGTGGAGGCTAGGACGTGCGCCTTCCCCCTTGCACAGGTCCCCTCCTCACCTCCACCTGCCGTTCATTGGTGGCTGTCCAGGGTGGACAGGGAGGAGGGAGGCCCCTGGGGTGCTGGCATGAGGGGAGTGGGCGTGGGTAGGAGAGGACGCTGGGCACAGCTGAATCATACAGAGGCGCCTTGCCCCCAGGGTGCCAGCAGCTGGCGCCACCCTGGGTGTGGCCGCCGTTTGAGCTGTGGCTGGGCTGGGTGGTCTGGGATGGTGGGGTGCAGTGGGGCTGGGGGAGGCGGGGAGGATTCTTAAATGTCAAGGTCCCTTGGTGGTCTCCCCGCTGGCCTGGCTTGGTGTCACCTGGCTGTACATGCCTACCGACTGTTGAGTTCCTGGGGGGAAGCCAGGATGCTCCCCAAACCAGTCCCAGGCTTGGGGAAAAGTGCACATCAGAGGGGTCCCCCACCCTAGGGATATTATGGAGCCCCCTGGAAATTCTGGCCTTTTTTTTTTTTTTTTTTTGGAAGGGGCGCAAGGAGTGAAGGCCAAGGTGGCAGGGGGAGGTTGGGATGGAGTGAAGGCCAAGGTCAAGGGGGTTGGGATGTGACTTCCAGGTTCCCCTATTTAGAAGGAGTGATTCAGCGCTCTCTACTCGCCCCTTCCTGAGGGCCCCTCCCCCTCACACCACACCCCAGCAGCCGCCTGCGCCTATTCTGGGTGGGGGTCCCCCTGCCAGAGTCTCCCAGTGCCTCCCTCCGGGGTGCCAGCGTCTCAGGACCCTCCCGAAATCGTCATCATCATCTTCGTCATTGTGGGCTTGGGGGTAGGGGCCGGGCTGCCCGGGTTGCAGCGGCTGGCTGGCTCGGGGCCCAGCCCCGCGTGGAAGCTTCTGCTAAGAGTCCCGGCCCATTAGGCCAAGCGTTGGTGACAGGCTGCGGCGGGCAGGGCGGGGCCTCGGCCCCTGGTATTTTCCGATCCCAGCTGCTCTGGGACGGCGGCGGCGGTGGAAAGTATTTGGGGACCAGGCTTGGGGGCGGCGGCAGCGGTGGCTGTGGAGGTGGTGCCCCTCACCTCCCCCCTTGCATCTATTTTGGAGCTGCTGCGGGGGTCTTGGCTGGTGCTGTGGCCTGAGAAGAGGGGGAGAAGACGCTGGACAGGGGGTGGGGCCTGTCCCCCCTTTTCTCCCACCCACCGTGCTTGGGTGCCAGGCGTCTTGGTTGGAGGGGGACTCCCAGCATTCACCTTGTCCAGGCCTCCCAAGTTGCCCATCCTTGGCCCTGTCTGGACACCGGCTCTCCCACCTCCACCCCCAATGCACACACCTTGAACTTGAAAAATCCCACTTCAAGGCCAGCTGGGGAGAGAGGAGGGGTCCCCTGCTGCCCGCGCACCTGCGTGGCACAGCCTCTCCCCTCCACGTGCAGGGGGAGCCCCGAGTCTTTCGTGCCTGCTGGATGGGGCTGGGGTGGGGTGTGTGGGTTGGAGGGGAGTGGGGAGTGGCCTTGGCTCGCGCCCTGGGCCCTGCGCGGGGGCAGCCCCACAGGAAACGGGCCCGGCCAAATGGCTGCCCTCCTGCTTTGTCCTCCCTGGGACACGATTGCGCTGTGTCACTTCCGGAGGCGGCCTCTGGGGAGGCTGGGCGCCGCCCGTGGGGGTCTGCTTGCGTCTGGTCCCTCACTTGGGCGCCCCCGCCTCGAACCCTGAGGAAGGGGGACAGGGCTAGGCTGAGGGGGGTGTGTGCGCGTCCTAGCAGGGGTGACGATGTCGCCCCAGGAAGCAGGGGTGAGAACGGCTCTAGAGTTGGGGTGTCCTCCCTGCCGGAATCCCTGTCACCCCTCACTATGACACCCCCCACACACACACACCTCTGGAAGGCGCTGGAAGAGCCAGGTCTTCAGAAATGCCCACCCCATTTCTCTGTGTTGCCAGGCACTGGCTGGGGGACGCGGTCCCCTACACATGGGATCACTCTTGGGAGTGACATGGTGCCCCCTCGGGTGGGAGTGGGGTGGGCAGTGATGTTGGCTAGGGCTGCGTGGGTGGACGGCCGGGGGGCCGCGGGTAGTGTGTGTCCTGCAGGGACCGAGGAAGACCGTGGGGTGCAGGCATGGGATCTGGAGGGGGCGCTCATTGGTTAAGCTATCTGCCTCCCCACCAATCGCCCCCTCCCACACACACATTGGGGAGACAGGGTCTGCGCCAGAGTTGGGGTGGCGGCTGCTGTGGGTTGGGGAGGGGGCGGTCTGGTGGTTTCCTCCTATCTTTTAGGCTGCTAGGAAGTGGCGCCAGCTGAGGTGAGGTCACTTCCTCGCCCGCCTGCCCGTCGCTCCCCCCGGCTTCCTCTCCCCATGGCCCCATTTGGCCTGGCCAGGGCTCTGCTGTATGGAGGGAGGGAGGCGGGGTAGGGACTGGCCAGAGGCAGTTCTGGGACTGTATCGGGGGTGCTGGGGTCCCCCCCATGGCTGTGTGCTGCCAGGCCCCTCTCCCCGACCCCTACCTCGGACTGAGTTGTCTCCAACGCCCCCCCCCCCCATCAATTGTGTCTCTTTTTGTCTCCCCTGCAGGTGCCAGGCTGGGGTCACCCCCGCCTCCTCTTACCCCTACACCCCGCCTGGATCTCCCTGCCTGCCCGGGCCGGTTGGGGTTCCTGGGGATGGGATTTGCTTGTGTGGTACAAATCACATTGCCAGGGAATTCCAACCGACCCGGGGCCCTGCCAACGTCGCCATCGCTGCCTCGCTGCCTGCCCGCCCGCCTGCCCGCTGCTGCCGCTGCCCGGCCCGAGGAGCAGGGCTTAGCCGCTTGTGAACAGGGTCCCCTCTCTGTTCGTGTTCACAGTGGCTAAGTTCTGCCCCCCTGACCCCTGACCTCGGCCGCTGCTGCCTGCCCACCTGCCCGTCTGCCCGCCCGTCCTCCGGGCACCCTGGGCTCCGCCTCCAGTACCTACTGAGCTGAAACAGTCTTTCACTCACACTGGCTCAGTTCAGCAGGAACTGGAGTCGAGCCCCCTCTTGGAAGCTACGAACGCCCTGCCACTGCCCTGCCTGCCCATGGCGGGGCCCAGGCAGAGAGAGAAGGTGGCCGGGAGGGACAAGCTGCTTTGCGGGGAGGGTTCTTCGGTCTGGCCCTGGAGGAGAGAGAGGCCAGCATGTCACAGGTGGCTTGAACCGGTGGCTCTCCGCTTGTGTGGAGTTGGGAACAGCCCAGACTCCTGTCTGCTGTCCCCGGGTCGGCTGGGCTGGGTGGGCTGGCCGAGGCAGGCCCCCCAGGCCCCCATTCTCCGCCCTGGGTGGGGGCCCGACAGGGGTGAGGGAGGGTCTGTCTCTGTCCTGTTGTCCGATGGAATAAAAAGAGATCTCAGCTGTGCGCTGCAAGGCTTGCTGTTGTGTGATTCTTCGCCCCACTGCCCGATTTTTGTTTTTTAAAGAATCCCCGTGGGCCTGGTGCTCCCTCGGCTAATCCTCCCCCCTCAAGCGCCAGAATCCCATATGGGCGCTGGTGGTTCGTGTCCCGGTGGCCCCACTTCCCATCCAGCTCCCTGCCTGTGGCCTGGGAAAGCAGTGGAGGACGGCCCACAGCCTTGGGACCCTGCACCCGCGTGGGAGACCCGGAAGAGGCTCCTGGCTCCTGGCTTTGGATTGGCTCAGCTCCAGCCATTGCGGTCACTTGGGGAGTGAATCAGCGGATGGAAGATCTTCCTCTCTCTCCTCTCTGTATATCGAACTTCCCAATAAAAATAAATCTTAAAAAAACACAGGATCTGGTAGATGATGAGCTGGGTGCTATTTTGGGGGGAGGGGGGATGGCTGTAGGATTACTCAGGCTTGCAAGGAAGAAGCGGGGTGCCCGGTGCGGAACTGGAGCCTTAGGGTGTGTCCCATCAGAGGAACCCCTGGCCACAGAGTGGGGTGTGCCTGGGTGGGACCTGCAGGGCCCCAGGTTTGCACGGGAACACTGCGTGTGACTGGGTGGAGGGTGCAGAGCGGCGCCTCAGGCCCAGGGGTGACACACTGGGGGGAAGATGTGGCAGAAGTCTCCTGGCTGGTGGATCCCCCAAAACTGCCCTTTGGGGGGGGGTGTCCGGCCACTTATACTTCCCAGAAGGGGGCGGGGCAGGAGGTAGGGACGCTTCCGATTGGCCCGCCGGTGTGGCAGGCGTGGCTCCGAGCCAATCGCGGGGCGCAGCGCTGTCGGAGCCACGCCCAGTCGGCGTCCGGCTGCAGCCCGTCGGATCTCGGCCGCCTGGCGCCGTCTGGTGGCCGCTGCCTGAAGCGCAGCCTGGGGCGGCCAGGATCCGCTTGGCTTTCTCACTTCCCAACTTTGGGCGCCTCAGTCTTCTCAGCTGAGAAATGAGACTACTCCTGACCCCCAGGCTGCACCCCGCAGCCTCTCCGCCTTCCAGTCTCGCTTAGCAATGAACCAGGTTGGCAAAAACAAAGTGAAAAAAAAAACTGTTAAAAAAAACTTTAAAAAGACAGGAAAAGGGCTTGGCGTGGTGGCCTAGCAGCTAAATTCCTGGCCTTGAAAGCGCTGGGATCCCATATAGGCCCCAGTTCTAATCCCAGCAGCCTCGCTTCCCACCCAGCTCCCTGCCTGTGGCCTGGGAAAGCAGTGGAGGACGGCCCAAAGCCTTGGCACCCTGCACCTGCATGGGAGACCCGGAAGAGCTCCTGGCTCCTAGTTTCAGATCGACTCAGCTCCGGCCGTTGCGCTCGCTTGGGGAGTGAATCATCAGACAGAAGATCTTCCTCTCTGTCTCTTCCTCTCTCTATATTTGACTTTGCAATAAAAATAAATAAATCTTTTTTTTAAAAGAGGAAAAAGAAGACAGAAGGCAATATATGTTTCAATAATTTTTAAAAAGTTATAAAACACTTTAGTCTTTTCCCCTCATGTACAAGGGGGCGGGGGCACAGGAGAAGTCAGTGAGGGTTGAGCTGGGTGGGGGTGACAAGGCAGGAGGATTGGGGCAACACAGGAGATTCAAGGTCAAGGGAGGGCCCGTGAGGCAAGGAGACGGTAAGCAGGCCGCACTGTCCTTCCCTGGGCATGTCACGGGTCATACACAGTCAGTGTGTGTGTGGGGGTGCAGGTGATGGGGCCTGCGGTGGAGTGCTGCAGGCTGCGGCCGCTGGAGGGAGTTGCCTTATTACAGTGGGCGCACGTCTGGCTTGTCCCAGGTGCTCCAGCCGCAGCCAGCAGCCCTGCACCTGGACTTTGCAACGGGGGAGCTCAGCACGACACACACCCATCGGGTCCCTGAAGACCACAGTGCCCTGGTATACAGAAGGCGCCCACTGAGGGTACAGCCAAGACATGCGGGGCCGGCATGCCAGGCTCACCCTGTTCCCCTCACAGCTGCCAGCACAGGGCCGGGCGCACGTGCCCCGGAACTGCAACATGCACACCTTCCTGTCTTCTTTCCTTCCTTCATTTATTTTTATCGGAAAAGCCGATTTGCAGAGCCCAAGGGGCTGCAACAACCTGAGCTGAGCTGATCTGAGGCCAGGAGCCAGGAGCTCCTTCCAGGTCTCCTACGTGGGTGCAGGGTCCCAGGGATTTGGGCCGTCCTTCACTGCTTTCCCAGGCCACAAGCCTGGGATGGGAAGTGGAACAGTCGGGACTTGAACCTGTGTCCATATGGGATCATGATGCTTGCAAGTCAAGGATTCAGCCACTAAGCCATCGCACCAGACTGATAGCAACTGCTTCACCTGCTGCTCGGCCAGGTGCCAAATGTTGGTGTCCTCGATGCACCCCATGCCAGTTGTGGGTCCAGAGTGCCTGCACCGGAGAAGGGAGGGAAAACTGAAGCTGAGGCTGGACCTGGGAGAGAGGCTATCTCCACTCAACCATCCACCCTTCCATCCATCCACCCACCCATCCACCCATCCACTCATCCATCCACCCTCCCGTCCATCCACCCTCCTGTCCATCCACCCACCCATCCATCCTGTCCTCTGTCCTTCTCCCTTCCTCCTTCTTCCCATCCCTCCCACCTACTCATCTGTCCATTTCCCTGTCCTTTCTCCCCCCTCCCTCCGCTCAGCCCCCATGCCACCAGCTCCATCATGATCCACTCACTCGGTCACCCCATCTGTTTATTTCACTGAATCCTCTCACCATCTCACCCCATGCACCTGTCCCTCATCTGTTTGTCCCTCTCAAAACGCTTCCAGCCCCTGAGCTCCTCTTCCGGCCCCCATGCCACTTGACCACACACACACACACTTGTGCTTCCCACAGGCCATCAACACCCTTCCACACCCAAGCCCCGATCCTGCCCATGGGTCCTTCCCCCCAACCTCATCTACACTGGCAACTACCGGGGAACCCCTCAACCCTTTGCTCAAAGTCCTCCTCTTGAGTGTGGATCATGCCTACACCTGCTTCTCAGCCGTGCACCCTTCACTCCCTGCTCGGCCCACTCTAGAGAGCCCCTTTCTCCAACCCTACTGGTGTCTGATAGCGTGAGCCAGTCACAGGGTCGGGCCTGTGAGCCCAGCACGGCCACGTGCTGATGGAGTCTGTGGCCAGGCGAGCGGGTGGGCGGAAGGGTCCCCTGCTCCCGGTGCACCAGGTGGGTGTAGTCTGCTAGGCGCTGCGCCCCCGGGGTCCTGCACCGACTTCCGCAGCAGCAGCTCGCGGCTCCGGCTTCAACGGGGCGGCGGGGCGCTTGCGGTGCGGAGACGGCGCCACCCCGTGGGCGCAGCAGCAGAGGACGCACGGATGCAGCCGCCGCCGAGGGCCGCACGGGAGAGGTGCTGCACCTCCACAGACTGGCCACCTCAGGACCCAGGCTGCTCAGCTCAAGTCTGCAGGCTGGTGGGCACGGGATGAGGCTGTATCCCCTCCAGCAAGGCCCAGCTGGGGCGCCTGGCAGGGACCCCCACCCACCAATCACCTGTTCTATCCGGATGGGGGTGGAAATTAAATGGATGAATTTTGGAGGGAAAGAGGTGAAGGGGTGTGGCACAGCAGGGTCATGGAGCACCTACCTGCATTCCCTACCCAGCGCAGGTTCAAGTCCCGGCTGCATCGCATCCCATCCAGCTCCCTGCTAATGCACCTGCAAAAGCGGTGGAGGGTGGTTCAAGTGCTTGCCCCTCTGCACGCACACGAGAGATCCAGAACACGCCCCTGACTCCTGGCTACATCGTGGGTCATGGCTACGTCAGGGTCCCACGTCTGAGCTCCTTACACACGCTGGGCAGCCTGGCAATCCTCTTATGCTTCTGGTTTTTTTTTTTTTTTTAAGATCTGCTGGTTCACTCCCCCAAGCAGCTGCAATGACCAGAGCTGAGCCAGTCCAAAGCCAGCAGCCAGGAACCTCCTCTGGGTCTCCCACACAGGTGCAGGGTCCCAAGGCTGTGGGCCGTCCTCCACTGCTTTCCCAGGCCACAGGCAGGGAGCTGGATGGGAAGTGGAGCAGCCAGGAATAGAACCAGCGCCCATATGGGATCCTGGCACATGCAGGGCGAGGAATTTAACCACTACGCTATCGCGCCAGGCTCATGTTTTTGTTTTAAAGAATATCCAACGAGTGTGTGCCAATTGGTCTACCCTCTAAGATGCCCACATCCCAGCCGCATCAGCGTGCCTGGGTTCGAGTCCTGGCCCTGGGGCCCTGCTCCTGCATGCCCTGGGGGGTAGCAGGTGATGGCTTGGGCTCTGGCCTCCCACGTGCACAACCACATGGTGTTTCCAGGGCTGCTAATTTTATTGGAAAGGCAGATGTTACAGAGAGGAGAGACAAAGATCTTCCACCTGCTGGTTCACTCCCCAAGTGGCTACAACAGGAGGAGGGCGAGCAGAGCAGGTTGGCTCGCTCTCCTGGAGGCCAAGCTTTGCAGCACGCGCTGGGTCTGTGGATGCACGGAGGTGGACTTGGTCAACACACAGACCTCACACAGATCTCAACTCCGGAGCTACCAAAACGACTGCCCCAACCACTCAGGTAGCACCCTGGGGACACTCTCCCCCACGTCGGGGTCTCTAAGGCGTCCTCACACGCCCGTCCCCCATCCCTGGGTGTGGATGTGGTTTTGACAGCAACGAGTGGTCCCCTCTCCCTCCAGGAGAATAAGACTGAAACGTGGGTCCCCCCCGCCTTCCTCCACTCCTGATCAGCTCACCGTGATCAGAGCCCCACATGGCTGTGTATCCCTCCCGACGATGTAAACAGTATTACAAATAATAATAATGATGTTAGTCCCGGGGTGTCCTGGCAGGGCCCCTAAAAGCAGCAGGCGCGTCTGTGTGGGCACCCAGGGCCAGGCGTGCGATGGCTGAAGGGGCCAGGCGGACATGGGGTGTCCTGGGGGGCGGACTGTTTGTAGGGTGTAAGGCAGGGGCCCCAGGGGCGGGAATGGGCTGCGCGAGGCCTGGGAGATGGGGTGCGCCCCGCGGGGGCGGCGGGAGCACGGCGTTGGGAGGTCACGGGGTTGCAGGGGGTCGTGGGGCTGCACCCCAGGGCTCGCGGGACAGGGGTGAGGCGAGGAGGGCGTGTTTGGGGTCGGCCTCCTCCGTTCGTCGCCTCCGTCTCCACCCGGGCATCTGCTCCAAGGCCCAGCAGCGCCTCGAGCCCGTCAGGTGGCCGCTCTGCCTCCGCCCGCGCCCGGGATCCTGGATGGTCGCTCCGTCGCCCCGGGACCCCCGCCGCACCCCAACTCCATCCTCGGCCGGCCGGGTGATGCGGCCCCTTTAAGACTCTTCACAACAATGAAGCCGCTTGGGTCATCCCGCCCCCGTCGCCCGTCCCCATTGGCGACTTCTGCAACCTCCTCCTGCTATTGGCTGCGCCTCCAGCCCTCCCCGTCGCGGCCAGCGTCCTGCTCACTCATTCGCTGACTTTGAAGTCAGTCTTCCCGAGCTCACCCAGTCGAAAGGCTGAGCGAGAGACGCTGTGTGGCCAATCAGAGCGGGAGAGCTCCGCATCCGGGGCGGGCCCTAGGTTCATTCAGAACATTCCTGCTGTCGCCGCACGCTGCGGCCTGCGCACCCTGAGACCTGCTGCACCTCACCACGTGCTGCACCCCGAGACCTGCTGCACCCCAGACCTGCTGCACCTCATCACGTGATGACCCCGAGACCTGCTGCACCCCGAGACCTGCTGCACCTCACCACGTGCTGCACCCCGAGACCTGCACCTCACCACGTGCTGCACCCCGAGACCTGCACCTCATCACGTGCTGCACCCTGAGACCTGCTGCACCTCACCACGTGCTGCACCCCGAGACCTGCTGCACCTCACCACGTGCTGCACCCCACCACCTGCCGCACCCCGACACCTTCCACACCCTGACACCTGCCTCTCCGGAGGTGGTTCTGCGTGTAGGGGTTCAGCGGCCAGTGCCCCGCTGCCTCAGCCCCACACGCCGGCTCCCCCACTTCTCCTGTGACTCAGCCCGGGTTGGACCACCCACCCCGTGTCCTCAGGAAACCCCGTGCCGCCTGCCTGCCCGTCTGCCTTTTTTTTTTCTATTTATTTTGCCGGCTATGGCGGATGTTTAATTTCTGTCTCTCTCTCCCTGGGGACCATGTCTGGCCAGGACGGGGGTATACAGCAGGTGTCCAGTCGGTTCCTCAGAGGGACGGGCTGGCTCATGTCCTGTTCATTTCCATCCCCATGACCCGGGGTGCAGCAGGGCAGCCCCAGGCCGGTGACCCAGGGTGGGGCGCAGCAGGGCAGCCCCAGGCTTTTGCTTCCATGACCTCTAAGTTATTGTCATGGCTCCCCTGACCTGTACACTGGCCCGGTGAGCCCCCCATGCTCACAGCCCACCCCCCAGCTCCCTGGGAAAGCAGTCAAGGACGGCCCAAAGCTTTGGGACCCTGCACCCACGTGGGAGACCCAGAAGAGGCTCCTGGCTTCAGATTGACTCAGCTCCGGCTTGGGGAGTGAACCAGCAGATGGAAAATCTTTGTTATTCCACCTTACAAATAAGTGAATGACAGGAGATTCGGGTGGAGCCCCCCTTCTGCCCGCCCGCTGGCTCTGTCCCCACCCGTCGCAAGGATGCAGATGGAAGATATGACAATGTGCACCCATGGCTCGGGCTGGTGCAGGGTGCTGTGTGAGCCTCGGGGACAGTGTCACCCCCATTTCTCAGACATGGAAGTGGAGGTCTGGAGAGGCCCAGGCCGCCCAGTAGGCAGAATGGACAGGACTGGGTGCTGGGTGTCCTGTGCCTCCTGCCAGAGGGGCTGGGGTCCCCAGGGCCAGTGGAGGGGAGAGCCCTGGGACTGGCTTTTCACAGCTGCTGTCATCACGCCCATCTCACAGTTGGGGAAAGTGAGGCAGGTGGTGTCCTGGGACCACAGAGCGAAAGGGGCGTGCCTGTGTGTGTGGGGAACCTTCTCCCAGTGCCTTGGAAATGAGGCCCTAGTGGCCTGGCCGCAAGGCAGGCCTCCCACTCCCTCTGGGGGCAGGGCAGGGGGTGGGGCCCTGCCAGCTCCCTCCCCCACTGAGTCACAGGGCCTCTATGGTGAGCTCAACGTCTGGGAATTTGTGGGCTTCTGACCCCCCCAGCCCTGTGGGAAACGCTGCCGCCAAGTGTGTGTGTGTGTGTGTGTGTGTGTGTGTGTGTGCGCGTGCGCACAGCTATGCATGCTGGGGTGGGGTCACCATCCTTCCCTCCTGGGGTGTCCTGTCCTGCTACGGTTTGGGGCGGGGGCAGCTGAGTGCCTCTGGCCTTTACCGTGCTGAGGGTCTGTGGTCAGTTAGCAGATGAGGCCAGGGAAGGCTGGCACGGGCTGCCTGGGGTGGCTGGGTCTGGGGGCAGGGTGATGAGGGGCTCGTCCGTGGAAGGTCATGGGGATGTGGATGAAGGAGACCCCCGCAAAGCCTTTCCTGGCCTCTGGCTGCCCCTGGGAAAGGCTGGCACTGAGCAGGCACCAGGCTCAGGGCTCTGGGCGCCGCCCAGTGGCCAGTGGGACCACAGCCTGGTCTGATCTATCTTTCTCCCTTCCTTCCTGTCTCTCTCTCTTTCTCTCCTGCCACCTTCCAGGTAGGTCAGTAGAGGCAGCCGGGACAGGCGACCTGTTAAGGGGTGCCAGGGGCAGCAGGTGGCTCATTTCTGTCTCCTGCCCTTCACATACAAGTTGCCCAAGCCCCCGCTGGGCACAGCAATGAACATGCTGGCACTCCGTGTCTGCAGGTCCAGGGATTCGGGAGACCTGGATGGAGGCCCTGGCTCCCAGGCTGGCATGATGGGCGCTCAGCGGAGTGGACCAGCTGACAGCAGATCTCTGCACCTCCCCAATAAAACATGAACACGGCCCCCTGCGCCTCGGGGTTGGCCAGGGTGTGGGGTGGCAGAGAGAGGTCGGGTCTGGGTGGCCCTTGCGTTGTTCCCTCAGCTGTGTGCTGGGTCTGGAGTTGTGTTATTCTGCCTGCCCCAAACTCAGGCCTGCTGAAAGGGCTCCATTGGAGAGTCCTCCCCTGCAAGCGCCGAGATCCCACGTGGGTGCCAGTTTGTGGCCTGGGAAAGCAGTGGAGGACGGCCCAGAGCCTTGGGACCTGCACCCGCGTGGGAGACCCAGAAGAGGCTCCTGGCTCAACAGCTCTGGGGGTGAAGTGCACCCGTTACTCCTGTGTCTGTCTTTCCTTTCATCCCAGGAGGGCAAGCCAGCCCCACCTCAGCCCTGGGGTGTGGAGGGGGGACTGTACCCCGAGTGCTCCAGGGGTGGCCTCTGACCCACAGGGGTCCATTTGCAGACACAGTCCTCTGACCCCTCAGGGATGGGAGCGGTTGCCTTGGCTGGGCGGCCGCAGCCTTCCTGGGCGCAGGTGGAGACCATGCAGGCAGATCTACGTAGGGGTTAAGATCCTCCATGACTGCAAGGCCCGGCGGCGTGGTCTAGCGGCTAAAGCCTGCGCCGGGATCCCAAAGGGTGCCGGTTCGTATCCTGGCTGCTCCACTTCCCATCAAGCTCCCTTCCTGTGGCCTGGGAAAGCAGTGGAGGACGGACCAGGTCCTTGGGACCCTGCACCTGCGTGGAAGACCCGGAAGAGGCTCCTGGCCAGCTCAGCTCCCACTCCTCTGTGTATCTGCCTTTGCAATAAAAATAAAACTTGGGCCCGGCGCGGTTGCGTAGTGGTCCTCGCGCGCCCGGGATCCCATCCGCTTCCCTTCCATCTCTTCCTACCTGCCTTCTGGGAAAGACATCGGAAGTTCCTCTCTGTATATACTATATATGCCTTATTAAAAATAAATCTTTTTTAAAGTCCATGTGTCCCCAGCCCCCTCCACTCACAAATTGGAATCAGAGAATCAGCATGGACTCACACACACCTTACTAGTCAGGACACGGGCATTAAGTACTCCTCACCAAGGTACGGAAGATTTCTCTGCACACCCCTCCTAAAACTGTTTTGCTCCTTGATTGTTGAATTGTCATTGAAATAGTCCCACAAAGTTGATAAGGCCTTGCATCCAATTTTGACATATCGGTTGCTCCATACTGTGTCAGTTTATCTCTTACTGTTATAGATTGTTGCTGATGTCATGTTGGGGCTTTTACTTGACTGGGATTTTGCTTTGTTGGCTTTGCCTTTGGACCGGGGAGGGTCTCCCTAAGAAGCCACTGAACTTGACCAGACAGTAATATGCTGGACTCTGTGCTTGGTGTATGCTTGCAATGAAGGGATCTCAACTAAACTTGAACTGTGGTTACGGAACGGGGGGGTTTGGGGGAGGAACCCACCATGGGGGGAGGGTTAGGGGGAGTCCCTGTGCTTATAGAACTGTGTCACATAATATAATGTAATTAACAAAAAGTCCAGGGGCCCCCCACCCTGGTGGCGCCCCAGTTCACAGCTCCCCCAGACCGCGGGGCGGAACAGCCTGGTTTATTGTTGGGGTGCAGGTACAGACAGGACGGCCCCATCCAGAGCGGACCGGGCATGTCCACCATAGTGGGCGTGTCCATCAAGGCGGGCGGTCACTCCAGAGCTATGGGCGTGTCCAATCAGCCCTGTGGGCGGGGCCCAGGGCGTGTCCAACCGGCCCTGTGGGCGGGGCCCAGGGCGTGTCCAACCAGCACTGTGGGCGGGGCCCAGGGCGTGTCCAATCAGCCCTGTGGGCGGGGCCCAGGGCGTGTCCAACCAGCACTGTGGGCGGGGCCCGGGGCGTGTCCCATCAGCGCTGTGGGCGTGTCCCACCTGCGGCCGGGGCGGGGCTGTGGCTTGACCAGCATAGTGGGCGTGTCCATAGATGTGGGCGGTCACAGCAGCGCTGGGGGCCGTGGGCGGGGCGCAGGGGCGTGGCTGCCGCAGTGGGCGTGTCCCGGTAGCGTTGGGCGTGTCCACCAGCGCGGGGGGCGTTCCCCGGCGTCGCCCCGCCCCTCAGGAGCCCGCCTTGCTCGCGCCCTTGCCAGCCCCGGCCCCCTTCTTGGCCCCCTTCTTGTCGGCCGGCGCCTGCAGCAGCGCCAGCCTCTTGGGGAGGCTGCTGCTGGCCTTCAGCACCACGTCGTGCTCGATCTTCTTCCGGATCCCCACCTCGAGGTCCTGCGGGGACAAGCACGGGGCGACGGGTGGGCGGGCGTGCGGGCAGGCCCAGCCTCGGCACCCCCAGCCCCGCAGCACCTGCAGTCCCGGCTCACGCCGCCGCCATGCTCCTGTCTGCCACCCGCCCGGGACCTCCACCCTGCACCCGCGTGGGGGACCCGGAAGAGGCTCCTGGCTCCTGGTCGGGTCAGCCGCTGCAGGTGCTGCCGCTTGCAGAGCACGCCGGCGGACGGAGCAGCTGGCCCTCTGTGTCCTGCTCCTCCCGCACTCACCTTCCGCAGCTTCTGCTGCTGCACGATGCGCGCTTTCTTGGGGGCGATGATCCGGCCTGCAGGGAAGGCAGGGCGTGTGAAGCCGGGAGGCCCCAGGACGCTCTCCCCCCGCCGCCCGCGGCGTCCCCAGCCCCCGGCCCGCGCCTCACCGCCTTTCCTCGGGCCCCGGCTGCGATCCGCCGCCGCCGACGCCGCCTTGCTCTTGGCCGGCCGCTGCGCCTGGAACTTACGCTGCCCCTGCGCCATGATGGGGCTCGCGCCGGAAGAGGCAGGGCTTCTGCCGGAAAGGCGGGCACGCGCCGGAAGAGGCGGGGTACGCGCCGGAAGAGTGGCTCCTGACGCAATCCAGCCGGGCGGCGCGGCCGCGAAGACTCACGGGATAGAGCGTGGCATAGCGTTAAAGGGACAGGCACCCTCCTGGGTGCTCGTGTAGTTTTCTGTGCTTTATGCATGAACTCAAACCAGGGGTAGGCCCAGACGAGGCAGAGCCTGACCTCTGGCTGCAACATTTTATAAAAAATACGTTTAAACAGCCTTGTTCCAGGTGCTTGGACCCTGCAACCACATGGGAGACCCGGAAGGAGAACCGGCCACTGGGGCCAGTTAGGGAGTGACCAGCGCAAGGATGAGCTCCCTCGCTCGCCCTCCCTCTGAAATAAACACATCTTACAAGACAGAAAATAATAATTTATTCTCATAAAATATATTATAAAACCTGTGAGAAACAGCCAGGTCGGAGGACAGGGGGCTGCTACCCCTGGGCTCCCAGGGACAGGGCAGCCGGGTCAGGAGGCTGTGGGGGGCTGGCCACCCCTGGTTCCTGGGTAGGGGGACGGGACTGGCCACCCCTGGTTCCTGGGTAGGGGACGGGGCTGGCCACCCCTGGTTCCTGGGTAGGGGGACGGGGCTGGCCACCCCTGGTTCCCGGGTAGGGGACGGAGCTGGCCACCCCTGGTTCCTGGGCAGGGGACGGGGCTGGCCACCCCTGGTTCCTGGGCGGGGGACGGGGCTGGCCACCCCTGGTTCCTGGGCGGGGGACGGGGCTGGCTACCCCTGGGCTCCCGGGGACAGGGCAGCGCGGAGCTGGTCGGGGGTGAAGACGCCCAGTTCTGTGATGATTCCCCCGGTGATGAGCTCGTGGGGGGTGACATCGAAGGCGGGGTTCCAGACCCCAATGCCTGGAGGGGAGAGAGGCAGGGCTGGCTGTACTGGGTCTGTTTGCACCCGGGGGGCTGTGGGGCTGGCTTGGGGGGGCCTTCCCTGACCGTCCACCCAATGTGGAGCGAGACAAGGCCTCCTGGCGGGGAGGTCCTGGTTATGGGGGCACACCCCCATGCCTGCCCCGGGTGGGCAGCTCACCGGGCGCCGCGATGCGGACGCCGTTCACGTCCGTCAGCTCCTGGCCGGGGCGCTCCTCGATGGTGATGTCGGCGCCCGTCTGCAGCCGCAGGTCGCAGGAGGAGCTGGGCGCCGCCACGTAGAAGGGGATCCCGTGGTGCTTGGCGGCGATGGCCAGCTGGTAGGTGCCCACCTTGTTAGCCGTGTCCCCGTTGGCCACCACGCGGTCGGCGCCTACCACCACGGCTGCGAGGGAGCAGGGTCAGGGGGTGAGCGGGCGGGGCGTCGACACCTGGACCCTGGCTGGCCAAGCCTCGTCCACCCAGGCCAGGCCACCTCCAGGGAAGAGGTCGTGCCCACCTGACACGCCCTTGTGTGCCATGGCCGCCGCCGCCATGCTGTCCGTGATGAGGGTGGCGGGGATGTGCTCGTAGACCAGCTCGAAGGCCGTGAGCCGGGCTCCCTGGTTGTAAGGCCGGGTCTCCGTGCAGAAGGCGTGCTCCAGGCGGCCCAGGCTGTGCAGGGAGCGGATCACGCCTGCGCCACGGCGGGGTGGTGGTTAGGGGAAGGGGTGTGCCAGGGTCCCCAGCGTGTTCACAGTCCCAGCCCCGGGTGTCCTGTGCCGGCTCTGCTTCCCATCCGCTGGTTCACTCCCAAATGGCCCTTAATGGCTGGGCCAGGCTGAAGCCAGGAGCTTCCTCTGGGTCTCCCACCCGGGTGCAGGATCCTAAGACCTTGGGGGCACAAGCAGGGAGCTGGATGGCAAGTGGGACGGCTGGGACTTGAACCCGTGCCAACTGACACACCATGGCTCCCACTCACCCAGGGCCGTGCCGTAGCCAGCGGTGGCCAGCGCCCCGGTGTTGCAGTGGGTCAGCACGGTCACCTTGCCGCCCCCCGGGGCTGCCTTGGCTAGCAGGTCTTGCGCTCCCAGGTCCCCGATGCGCCTGTTGTCCTTGAGGTCCTGTTCCAGCATGGCCTCGGCGAAGCGGATCACTCTGGGGCCGAGGAGAAGGGGGCCTGAGCGTCTGCGGAGCGGCCTGCGCTAGCCCGGCGCGGGTGTCCGTTCCGGGGAGGCCCCGGTACCTCTCCCGCACCGCCTCCTCCGTGGCGCCCTCCTGCTCGGCCTCACGGGCCGCGGCGTCGGCCAGGTCCCGGGCGGCGCGGGCCATGTTGACCGCCGTGGGCCGGGCGGTGACCAGGAAGCTCAGGCGATCGCGGACAAAATGCATGAGGGCGGCGAGTCCTGGGCCCCCGGCGCCCGCCTGCAGCTCCACGGCCAGGCTGAGGCAACCCACCAGGGCGATGGCTGGGGCGCCGCGCACCTGCCGGGGCCCACAGAGATGCGGTGGGCTTGCGCGTCGGGCCCTTCTCCTCCCCGCCGCCGCCACCGTGCGCGCCCAGGCCGCGCCGCTCCCACCTTCATGGCGCGGATGACCTCCCAGGCCTGCTGCACCGACTCCACCGCCTCGTAGCGGCTCTGCCCCGGCAGCAGCAGCTGGTCCAGGATGTGCAGCGAGCCCCGGGAGTAGCGGATGGCTTCCAGCGCCATGGCCTCGGTAGCCGCCGTGCGCGCTCAGCCGCCTTCCGCAGCGCGTGCGCCCGGGACGCACGGGAACGGGGCGGGACCAGGTCTCTGGGCGGGGAAAGCTCCGGAGCCGGACGCACAGGCGCGCAGCAGCCCTAGAACTGGGTGTGTGGGAATCACACAGCCTGCTTCTCCCAAATCCCAGGAGGCCAGCCTGAAGGCGCTGGCGCAGGGAACCTCCGGCCGCTGCATCCCGTGGCTGGCAGAGGGGCCTGCGCCAGCTTCCACCTGCCAGAGGGTCTTGGCAAACTCGAGCACCGTCTGACTCCGGGGGCAGGGGGTACTCTCCGTTGTCCCCCCTCTGTATTTTTAAATGCCCACTCCTGCCCCAGGGCTGAGACAGGCATACTACGGGGTGGTTCTCAGCCTGGGGTGGCATCCGAGTGCCGCTGTGGGAGATGTGGGGGTCCCGGGGGGCGGCCTGCTCCCCTCCATCAGCATTTAGAGCATGGCCCTTCACTTGACACAGGACCAAGTCTGCTGTAGCAGCCTGGCATGTGTAAGTCACCCTAGGATGCTCCCCCAGGGGTGACGCCACCCCAGGGTGTGACAGGACGCTGGGGGAACATGTCTCCATCAGGGCTTACAGGACTGTGCTGGGGCTCCCTGGGGACACTGGGGCCCCGGCCGGTGGGCGGAGGGACAGCGTGAAGGGGGTGGGATGACTCGGGGCTGGTGGCTGTGGGAGCGTCAGTGGGGGTCTCCCCGTGAGTGAGGGAACAGCTTCGGGGTGGTGGGCACAGCGTGTGCCCTGAGCCCATCACGGAGAGACACCTGCCGGGTTGGGAGTGGTGTGGGCGAGGGTGGCAGGGCCAAGGGGGCAGCCCGCTGACCACGGCTCACAGCCGCCCTCTGCTGGCCATTCCCGGGAACTGCTGATGCCAAGATGCATCACCGACCATGGCTGACCATGGCTCACAGCCGCCCTCTGCTGGCCATTCCCAGGAACTGCTGATGCCGAGATGCATCACTGACCAGGGCTGACCAGCGCTGACCACGGCTCACAGCCGCCCTCTGCTGGCCATTCCCAGGAACTGCTGATGCCGAGATGCATCACTGACCAGGGCTGACCAGCGCTGACCACGGCTCACAGCCGCCCTCTGCTGGACATTCCCAGGAACTGCTGATGCCGAGATGCATCACTGACCATGGCTGACCATGGCTCACAGCCGCCCTCTGCTGGCCATTCCCAGGAACTGCTGATGCCGAGATGCATCACTGACCATGGCTGACCAGCGCTGACCACAGCTCACAGCCGCCCTCTGCTGGACATTCCCAGGAACTGCTGATGCCGAGATGCATCACTGACCATGGCTGACCATGGCTCACAGCCGCCCTCTGCTGGACATTCCCAGGAACTGCTGATGCCGAGATGCAGCCCAGGCCCAGCAGGAGAGAAGATGCTGAGATGGACTTGGCGGTGTGGTGGCAGGAGGCAGGCGTGGGGCCAGCTGGGGCGCAGCAGGACGGCTGCAGGGTTGAGGGCAGAGCTCCAGGAACTTGAACATGGCCGTGCCAGTCCCTGAGCTGGGGCATTCTGGATGGCTATGGGAACACCCCCAGGTGCTCCACTGCCACCCAGCTCCCTGCCTGTGGCCTGGGAAAGCAGTGGAGGACGGCCCAAAGCCCTGGGACCCTGCACCTGCGTGGGAGACCCGGAAGAAGCTCCTGGCCAGCTCAGCTCCCACTGTGGACACTTGGGGGGGAACCAGCGTGTGGAAGATCTTCCTCTCTGTGTATCTGACTTTGCAATAAAAATAAAACTTGGGCCTGGCGCAGTGGTGCACGGATGGATCTTTCTCTCTGTCTCTCCTCTCTGTATATCTGCCTTTCCAATAAAATAAAACTTTTAAAAAAATAAAACTTAAAAATTCCAGTGGTCCCCCAGCCCCCTCAACACACACTCACTCACACATGCACACTCCCAAATTGGAATGGATAGGCAGAGAATCAGCATGGACTCACACACACCTTACTAGTCAGGACACGGGCATTAAGTACTCCTCACCAAGGCATGCAAGATTTCTCTGCACACCCCTCCTAAAACTGTTTCGCTCCTTGATTGTTGAATTGTCATTGAAATAGTCCCACAAAGTTGATAAGGCCTTGCATCCAATTTTGACATATCGGTTGCTCCATACTGTGTCAATTTATCTCTTAATGTTATAGATTGTTGCTGATGTCATGTTGGGGCTTTTAATTGACTGGGATTTTGCTTTGTTGGCTTTGGCTTTGGACCGGGGAGGGTCTCCCTAAGAAGCCACTGAACTTGACCAGACAGTAATATGCTGGACTCTATGCTTGGTGTATGCCTGCAATGAAGGGATCTCAACTAAACTTGTGTGGTTACTCAACGGGGAGCTGAGGTGGGGTGGGAGGAACCCACCATGGGGGGAGGGTTAGGGGGAATCCCAGTGCTATAGAACTGTGTCACATAATATAATGTAATTTAAAAAAAAGTCCAGGGGCCGCACGACCCTGGTGCCCCCCCTGTGCACAGCACCCCCTCCTCAGTGGCCCCCCACCCTGGTGGCGCCCCAGACCGCGGGGCGGAACAGCCTGGATTATTGTTGGGGTGCAGGTACAGGCAGGACGGCCGCCTGCAGCTCCACGGCCAGGCTGAGGCAACCCACCAGGGCGATGGCTGGGGCGCCGCGCACCTGCCGGGGCCCACAGAGATGCGGTGGGCTTGCGCGTCGGTCCCTTCTCCTCCCCGCCGCCGCCACCGTGCGCGCCTAGGCCGCGCCGCTCCCACCTTCATGGCGCGGATGACGTCCCAGGCCTGCTGCACCGACTCCACCGCCTCGTAGCGGCTCTGCCCCGGCAGCAGCAGCTGGTCCAGGATGTGCAGCGAGCCCCGGGAGTAGCGGATGGCTTCCAGCGCCATGGCCTCGGTAGCCGCCGTGCGCGCTCAGCCGCCTTCCGCAGCGCGTGCGCCCGGGACGCACGGGAACGGGGCGGGACCAGGTCTCTGGGCGGGGAAAGCTCCGGAGCCGGACGCACAGGCGCGCAGCAGCCCTAGAACTGGGTGTGTGGGAATCACACAGCCTGCTTCTCCCAAATCCCAGGAGGCCAGCCTGAAGGCGCTGGCGCAGGGAACCTCCGGCCGCTGCATCCCGTGGCTGGCAGAGGGGCCTGCGCCAGCTTCCACCTGCTAGAGGGTCTTGGCAAACTCGAGCACCGTCTGACTCCGGGGGAAGGGGGCAGGGGGTACCCTCCGTTGTCCCCCCTCTGTATTTTTAAATGCCCACTCCCGCCCCAGGGCTGAGACAGGCATACTACGGGGTGGTTCTCACCCGTGTTTTTATTTTCTGCAAAGGCAGCGACGACGCCCTTGCAGAGTCCACTCCCCTCGGACTTGGGGGACTCAGGAGAGGTCCACACCAGCGCCTTGAGGGCAGGTCCCATCCCGCGGCCCTTCATCCCCACCCCTCCCTGCTCAGCCTGTGCAGCTCACCCCGGATCCCAGGCCAAACCCCAGAAACCCACGGCACTCCGACCACTGGGGAGGGGGAGCTTGGTGGGGTGCAGCAGGGCAGGCTCTGGGCCATGGAGGAAGGGCAAAGTGACAGTGCTTGTGTGTGTGTGTGCAGGGGGGACTGGTGTCCCAAGGCACACGCCCCCGGGGTGTGGCAGGCAGGAAGGCGGGGCGGGGGTCTGCAGTCCTAGTCCCTTGGCGCCCCGCCCTCACTCGCTCTCTGAGGAGTCTGAGTAGTCAGCTACCAGGGAGGAACCCAGGCTTTGGGGGGGTGGGGTGGGGTGGGCCGTCTCGCGGGGGGCTCCAGGCGGTGGCAGTGCTGGACAAGGGGCCAGGGCCGGGGTCGGGGCGGGGGCTGGCTCCCGGCAGCTCCCCTCCTGGCTCCTGGGTGTTGGGGCCTTGGGCTCCTTAGTCTCCACGTGCTGCTGAGAACAATCTTGGGGTGCCGAGGCTGGCTCCTGTGGCTTGGCAGCCTTGGGGGTCTCAGCTGCAGGTGGGGGGCTGTCGCCAGAGTCTTCCCGTGACGCCCTGGGCAGCCGCACGATGCCCAGGTCCTGGGCGGTGATGGTGGGGCCGGCGGGCGCGGGCCTGCGGCTCTGGGCTAGCTTCTTGAGCACGCTGTTGGCCTTGCTGCTGCAGCCGGGGCTGGGACCTGGACCGGGGCCTGTGGCCGCTGCTGGCGCGAACCAGGAGCGGCTGTTGATCTCCGAGCGCTTCAGCTTCTGCTTGTCCTCATAGGCTGTGGAGGAGGGGGTGGCAGGGTGGGGTGGGGGGGGTGTCAAGGCAGCGTGGGGCCACCCCGCCCCTCCCTCCCCGCCAGCACCCCTCTGCACTCACAGTCCAGCGTTTGGAACTTGAGCAGCCCAGCCAGCTTGCGGTCATGCTCGGTCTCGGGCAGCAGCGGGATGGTCAGGCTGGCCTTGGCCTGCAGCGCCTGGTCCCGCTCCTCCTCCTCCTGCAGGGCCTTCTTCTTCTCCTGCATGGGGGGGCGTGCATCACAGCTCCGCCTCTCCCCTCCCACGGGGGGTCACCCCGGCTTCCTGGGGAGCAGGTGTGGCCACCAATTGCTCCTTGAACCTCACACATGCCTGGGACAGGGGCAGGTGGGAGCCTCCAGGCGCCTGCACCACTCTCATTCATTCATTCATTCATTCATTCCACCAAGACAGCACATGAACCTGTCAGGCAGCGGATATTTGCTATTGCCGTGTGACACTGGGACTTTTGAAAACCTTTATGGGATAGGCAGTGACGAGAGAGAGAGAGAGAGAGAGAGAGAGAGAGAGAGAGATCGATCCTCCGTGTGCTGGCTCACATCCCAAATGCCCACAGCAGCCAAGGCTGGGCCAGGCTGGGCCAGGAGCTCCATCGGGTCTCCCACGTAGGTGCAGGGACCAAGTATTTGTGCCAGGAATGGCCGCCTTCCCCAAGGGCATCAGCGGGGAGCTGGATGGGACACGGAATAGCCTGGGGTGGCATCCGAGTGCCGCTGTGGGAGATGTGGGGGTCCCGGGGGGCGGCCTGCTCCCCTCCATCAGCATTTAGAGCATGGCCCTTCACTTGACACAGGACCAAGTCTGCTGTACCAGCCTGGCATGTGTAAGTCACCCTAGGATGCTCCCCCAGTGGTGACGCCACCCCAGGGTGTGACAGGACGCTGGGGGAACATGTCTCCATCAGGGCTTACAGGACTGTGCTGGGGCTCCCTGGGGACACTGGGGCCCCGGCCGGTGGGCAGAGGGACAGCGTGAAGGGGGTGGCATGACTCGGGGCTGGTGGCTGTGGGAGCGTCAGTGGGGGTCTCCCCGTGAGTGAGGGAACAGCTTCGGGGTGGTGGGCACAGCGTGTGCCCTGAGCCCACCACGGAGAGACACCTGCCGGGTTGGGAGTGGTGTGGGCGAGGGTGGCAGGCAGGGCCAAGGGGGCAGCCCGCTGACCATGGCTCACAGCCGCCCTCTGCTGGACATTCCCGGGAACTGCTGATGCCGAGATGCAGCCCAGGCCCAGCAGGAGAGAAGATGCTGAGATGGACTTGGCGGTGGGGTGGCAGGAGGCAGGTGTGGGGCCAGCTGGGGCGCAGCAGGACGGCTGCAGGGTTGAGGGCAGAGCTCCAGGAACTTGAACATGGCCGTGCCAGTCCCTGAGCTGGGGCATTCTGGATGGCTATGGGAACACCCCCAGGTGCTCCACTGCCACCCAGCTCCCTGCCTGTGGCCTGGGAAAGCAGTGAGGACGGCCCAAGGCCTTGGGACCCTGCACCTGAGTGGGAGACCCGGAAGAGGCTCCTGGCTCCTGGCTTTGGACTGGCTCAGCTGTGGCTGTTGCTGCCACTTGGGGAGTGAACCAGTGGATGGAAGATCTGTTTGTGTCTCCTTCTCTTTGTAGATCTGACTTTCCAACAAACCAATAGAAAAAAATCTTAAAATGAATAAGTAATTGAAAGAGGATCTGACTTTGGGTCCTGACTCCAGCCCCGGAGAGGCTGCTCAAGGACATGAGGCCCTGCTGTCTGCGTGGAGACCCGGATGGAGGCCCTGGAGGCCTGGCTTCTGTGGGCACTGCCGGGCATGGACAGAGCAGTGCATGGAAGTCCCCTTCTCTCTGCTGCCCTCCACTGCCCCGCTCACCCGGAACTTGCGGCGCAGCAGGCTGTTGAGTGCGAAGTCGTCCTTCCAGGCGTTCTGGGCCTCCTGGATGTCGCTGAGGGTCGGCATGGCCTTCCTGAGCACCGAGCGGTCGGCCTCCCCGTGCTCCAGGCGGAACATGGCGTCCGTCTCCAGCTTCTGCTTCTTCTCGTGTTCTGGGGGAGATGTGGGTCTCAGCCGGGCCTGGGTGCGGCTGGCGGCAGGTGATCCGAAGAGGGCCTGGCACAGGGCCTGTACTCACCCGTGGTCAGCACCTGCTCGTTGTCCTCCATGTCCCAGCGCTCCTCCTTGCGCTGGGCACCGCTCACGATCACGTAGTCGCAGTTGGCGGGATCTGTCTGTATCTCGATGTAGTTGACGCACAGGTGACATTTCATCCGGAACCTGGCGGGGGGAGAGTCAGGATGGCCATCACACCTGCCCGTGGGTAATACGCATGGGGCAGTCCACCTCCTGACTTCCGCTTCCTGCTCCTGCATGGCCCCGGGAGGCAGCAGGGAAGGTGTGGGGATGCCTGGGTCGTGCCCTGGCCCAGTCCCGGCTGTCGTAGGCCTTTAGGAAGTAAATCAGGAATTGGGATTGCTCTTCATACCTGTGGGGTGCAGGGATCTGTTCCTGGGGGGAAGCTGGATGGGGCATGTGGGGGCACAGACACGCTAAGCCTGATCTTCCCTCCCTCAGCGAGGCTGAAGTTGGCTCGTTTGTTCATCTCCCTGTTTGTCTACTCAGCTACCCCTTTCACTCATTCCTTCAGCTGTCCACACGTCTCTTCATTTATTCAACCCTCCACGTAGCAACTCCTTGTCCCTTTGGTCACGTCTGCATGTCTCCACCTGCCTCTTCACTCATTCACTCACTCAGGGGAGGCTCATCCACTCACACATTCAGGCATTCTCGGTGTCCACATCCCACAGTGTGGTCCATGAGAGAGAGGCTGTGCCAGGCCCCTTGCCCTGCCGGGGCCTCCTCTGGGTGCCAGGGGGAGCCCAGCACGGCATCAGGTAGGGGATGGGCGGCCACGCAGTGTCAGATGGCGAGTGTTCCTTCAGAGGAGGCCTTTGGGCAGGGGGACTGGAGTGCCAAGGCTAAGCAGTGAATCTCAGAGGCTTTATGGGGGGTGTCTGCAGGAGAGCAGGGGCCCCCAGGGTGGCAGCAGGATGGGGTGCACGTGGGAGCAGGAGCCCAAAGGGTCAGGCATGTTCACAGGGCACCAGCAGCCCTGGATGGCTCTGGGCGGCAAGGCATGGCCTCGGGGGCAGGAGGGGAGGCAGACAGTCCAAGGCACCTTCCAGAACAATCCTTAGGCACTGGCGGACTCACTCCCTCACGCCCTGCCCACCCCCGGGCTGCCCTACCTGTAGATGGGGGTCGTGTAGTAGTTGCCCACCTTCTTCTTCTCTGCATTGTAACGAACACCTGGTGGGGAGGGGGTGCAGGGTCAGCCTGGGACCCCCTCCACCTTGCCCTGGGTGGGAGAGGGCAGGCCAGGGCAGTATTTCACCAGGGGGAGGGGTACCAGGCACAGCAAATGAGTCTGAGATGGACCTGCCACCTGCTGGTCACTCTCCGGGTGCTACAATGGCCGAGTATGGGCCAGGCATGAGTCAGGAGCCAGGGGCACCGTCCGGGTCTCCCGCCCAAGCACCTGCCGTCTTCCCAGGTGCCCTAGGGCCAGATTCCTAACCACGTGGCACCTTGGGTGACCCTCCCATGCCTGGTGGGAGTGGCAGTCCCCAGAGCCCTGCCTCCTTAGGGGGCTCAATGTTTGAGACGCTGCGTGGGCAGGGCCTGCTACCGTAGGCACAGCAGGTAGCACACCAGCGGGGCTGGCATCCCCTGCAGGAGTGCCAAGGTTCCACGGCTGCGCAGCTCCCTGCGAGCGTGCTGGGCATGCAGCAGGACAGCCCGAGTGCCTGGCTCCTGCCACCCACAAGGGGGACCCGGCTGGAGCTGCGGGCAGGGCTGGGGAGGCCATCCGGGAGGTGAGCCAGCAGATGGACGTGTTCCGTGCCCTCCCTCCCTGCCTCCCGCCCCCGCGGGGCTCACCCATGCCGATGTGGTTCTTACAGCCGTCGCACCAGATGTTGTACGGCATCTCAAACCTGTACGAGAGGACACGCGCATGGGCAGCTGGTGGCTCCCGCACCCGCCCTCGGCCTGCGACCCCAGCGTGGGCAGGGCAGCAGACACCCCCTTGGGCAGAAGCCTAGAACCGCTGTGGCTCCCACACTTCCCCGTCAGCCAGCTGCTCCCATCGGCTGACCGAGATCTTGCGGGCTGGGGGGTCTCTCTCTCTCTCTTTCTGTCTGTCTCTCTCTCTCGGCTATAGGTCTGTCTTTCATGTGCCTTGCTCCCGACCCCACGCCACCCCCACGCGGTGCAGACACACTTCCGAGCAGTGGCAATGGACTGTGAGGAGCAGGTGACTGCTGGGTCGCTGCTAGCCACGTGCGACACCCGGATGGAGCTCCTGGCTCCCGGCTCCAGCCTGGGTGGGACCCAGCCCTGGCTGCCGCTGGCACTTGGGGGAGTGACCCAGCATGTGGCAGACCTCGAGGGAGGTTTGACCCTCCGATGAGCGAAGCTGGGAAGGAATAGAATAAGAGTCATGGAGGTTGGGAGGTGTGGATGGTGTATGGGAGCTGCCTTCCTCTGTCCACCCTGGAGGACGCTGGGGCGCTGGCCAGGATACGGGGGCAAGGTGGGGGATGGTGAGGAGGGGCACTCCAAGGGAAGCAGGAAAGGGGAAGCCGTCTGTCCTGGCTCCTGGCACCTCATGGCAGAGCCTTGGCAGCTCCCCCTCCCGCAGTGGGAATGCGGCCTGCTGTCCCTCAGCCCCGGATCCTGGAGAGGGGATGATGGAGCCAGGGCCTCCTGTTCCCTGCCTGACAGTCCAGGGGGAGCCAGCATGGGCTGCCTGGCCACAGGAGAATCCAGTACACAGTAAAGCCTGCTGCTGGAGGTAAGGGTCCTTCAGGCCAGCTGGTCCCCAGCCGAGCGAGACAGGGAGAGAGAACCTTCCCTGGCCCGGGGATGCCCAGGCCAGGCCAACTCTGTTTGGTCCGATTTCCCTGGGCCATGGCAGCACCTGCCACTTTTGTTATGTGACGGCAGTTGACAGCTGCATCATGGCTGGATCACACACATCCCCTGCTCCCACAGGGGGTGCCGAGCTTCCCTGGTACCCCTGCGAGGTGGCATGCACGTGCGTGCGGGGCCGGGTGGGGGGCGACCCCAGGCCGCCCCTGAGCCTTACCGAATGATGAGAATGCCTTGTGACAGCTTGCGGGCCCGCTCCCGGAGCGGGTGGCTCTTGTGGTAGCGGTTGAGGGAGCCATGCTGTGCGGAGAGGAGGAAGAGGGAGGGGCGGGCGGGTCAGCACGGCCGAGGTGGGAGGCCCACCCTATCTAGATGCGCCCCCTGAGACTCCAAGACGTGTGGCATCCACCAGCGCCACTCCCCTGCCCCTGCCCGCCCCCGGCCCAGAGCCCTCACGGAGGGTCCCGGCCAGGCAGGTATGTGTGTGTGTGTGTGTGTGTGTGTGTCCCGAGGTACTGATGCCTGCCGTGTGTGTGTGTGTGTGTGTGTGTGTGTGTGTCCCGAGGTACTGATGCCCGCCGTGTGTGTGTGTGTGTGTGTGTGTGTGTGTGTCCCGAGGTACTGATGCCCGCCGTGTGTGTGTGTGTGTGTGTGTGTGTGTGTGTCCCGAGGTACTGATGCCTGCCGTGTGTGTGTGTGTGTGTGTGTGTCCCGAGGTACTGATGCCTGCTGTGTGTGTGTGTGTGTGTGTGTGTGTGTCCCGAGGTACTGATGCCTGCCGTGTGTGTGTGTGTGTGTGTGTGTGTGTGTGTGTGTGTGTCCCGAGGTACTGATGCCCGGGGCTGGGAGGGGGAGGCTGCGGCCACTCGCTTACCTTTTCGGGGTCGAAATCCGGGGGGTAGTACTTGTTCACGCCTTTCCTCTCCCCCTGGAGGGTGCGAGAGAGAAGGGGGTGACTCAGGGAAGGCCATGGGGGACAGCACCTGCCCTGCGCCAGCACAGGAGTAACGGCTTCCCTCCCCCACAGCCCCCCAATCTCTCCACCCTGCGGCGGGCCCAGGTCATGGCCATGGACACAGAGGAAGCTGGGTTTGGGGGGGTGTCTGTGGTCTGAACAGGAAGCCAAGTAGCTCTGTCTGGAGGTTTGGAAAAGAAAAAAAACATCACTATTCCAGCTAGTGGGACACCCCAAGAGGAGACCCCAATTCTGCTCAAGGGCGTCTACTGACACGCTGGCATGAAAAGGAACATGGACAGGGCTGGCCCAGCCATGGGCAGGGTACCCTGCATTCGGTGTGGGCACCAGTTCTAATCCCGGCAGCCCCACTTCCCATCCAGCTCCCTGCCTGTGGCCTGGGAAAGCAGTGGAGGACGGCCCAAAGCCTTGGGACCCTGCACCTGCGTGGGAGACCCGGAAGAGGCTCCTGGCTCCTGGCTGTTACAGCCATTTGGGGAGTGAGTCGGCAGATGCAAGATCTTTCTCTCTCCTTTTCTCCAGAAATCCGCCTTTCCAGTAGAAACGAATACATCTCTATTTGCACACTACGGAACGCTTCACACACTCACACAGCCTTCTGGCGCAGTGGCCAGTGCTAATCTCTGCATCCTCCCAATTGTAGTAGGGAACACAACATGAATAAAATCTTGTAAAAATAGTAGAGACAAAAATTTAAAAAAAATAGAAAAAGAATATACCTGTACTTTTTTTTTTTTGAAAGACAGAGAGAGAGAGAAAGCGCTCACGCACTGGTTCACTGTAAAATGCCCACAGTGGGCTGTGCGGGGTCAGAAGGAGCCGGACTTGAGGCACGTCTCCTACGTTGGTAGTTTGAGCCCTCGCTGTGGCCTGCGCTGTCCCCAAGGGCCTGCATCAGCAGGATGCAGGGTAACTGAACCCGGACGGTTCCTGTAGGCGACATTCCAGCCTGGTCCCACTCCCCGACGTCATCCAGCACCACCGTCGTGGGGGCAGCATAGCCCGGGAGGACGGGGCTCACCCTCCACTCACCATCTTGGCTGCTGCTCACGGGTCTCAGCCCTCGAGGGGGCCAAGCTGTGACGGCCCCTCTTGACCTGCTGCTGCTGCCCGGGCAGGAGGTCTCTGGCTTGGTGGTGCAGTCAGCTCAGATGAGGCTGGCACTGGGTGGGAGAGCCTTCTGAGTAATCCTCCTGGAGGGAAGAAGGGAGGGAGAGAAAGAGAGAGAGAGAGAGAGGCTAGTTAACTCCTTAACCAGCACACATGAGGAAACACGCATCAATTTATCAGATACGTGTTTATTTTGGAGCTGGATTGGAAGTGGAGCAGCCGGGACTTGAACGGCACCCATAAAGGGACACCAAGTGCTGCAGGCTACAGCTTTCAAGTTCCTGGGACCCCGGTCTGTCTTGCCAAGCCCTTCCTCTGCCCCACTCCCTCATACTGGTCTCATGGCCAAGTACAAGGCCTGGTACTGTGGTGTAGCAAGCACAGCCTCTACTGCTAGCGCCGGCATCCTGTACAGGCGCCGGTTCGTGTCCTGGTTGCTCCACTTCCGATCCGGCTTCCTGCTAAGGTGCCTGGGAAGGCGATGGGAAGGTGACCTGAGCATTTGGGCCCCTGTCACCTAAAGGGGAGACCTGCACGGCCAGGTTGGAACCTGCTGATGGCCTCATGGGGCGAACGTTAACTGGCTCAACTGTTTGCTGTTTGGGACCTGGCGCATGGGACCGATCAATAATCATACATGTGGAATAGTGACTGGTGGTGACTAACCAGTTATGGGCGTTCCGGTGGGCCGGCCTGCAGACTCTAACAATCTGTTTTGCCCTACAGATATCCAACCAGCTGATGCACCAGGGAAAAGCAGAAGAACATGATTCAAGTCATGGGGGCCCTGCACCGGCATGGCAGACCTGGAGAAAACCCCTGTCTCCTGGCATTGACCTGCCCCAGCCTCAGGCCACTGTGGCCAATAAGTACTGAGACTGGCACCTCCAGGGAATGGCACGTCACACCAAAAGGGGTGCACAAGTGAAATTCGAGCAACGAGCAAACCCACGAACCTCTGCACTCCTCACCCCAAATTATTCGGTTTCATACTGCCCAAGGCAACTCCAAATTCAACATCTCTACACGCAGCGTACCCGTTAAGCTGACAGTTTTGTCTTGGAGGGCCAGGGAGAGATGTTATAGACGTCACAGTAGCCCTGGCTGGGGGTAGGGTCCCAGCTGGGGTCACCCCTGAGCTGGGCCAGCTCTGGGTCTGTCGCATTGAGGCACGCTGGCAGGACCCAGTGGGTTGCCCAACGTGGGTAATAAGGGTTACTTCTCATGAGGTTTCATGGGTGCAAGGCCCAGCGGAGGTGGGTGCAGGCCCCCCAGGAGGAGGCTGAGAAGGCCACACCGGGAGTGGCCAGCCCCCCCTCAGTCCAGCAATGAGTTGTGCAGTCGGAAGGAACCTACAGCACTCCGTAGCACCAGGCGCCCTCCATGGCCACCCCCAAACCCCACCTTTACAGCTCCCTCTTGGTCCCCACAGACGACTTCCCTGGCCTGCTGTCTGTATGGGACCAGTGACCCTCGCCCGGGGGCGTGCCCTTTAATAAAGCCGGTTTATTCTGTGTGGCTCTCCGGTTCTGAACGCCAGCGGGGCCTGATGGTGGGGTTCACCTCCCAGGGCAGAGGAAGAAGCCAAGAGCCCGCTGGGTTAGGAGAGGGATCGCACCAGGGGTCCTGGGCAGTGTGGGGACAGGAGTCCTGGACTGGAGGGACAGGGGCTGTGGTGGGGTCTCAGGACTTGGGGGGACAGGGGCTGCGGCGGGGGTCTCAGGACTTGAGGGGACAGGGGCTGCAGTGGGGTGTGGGGGTGCAGGGGCTGGGGGATAGTGGCCGCAGTGGCGTGTGAGGTATAGGGACTCGGGGGACAGGGGCTGCAATGGGGTGTGGGGGTGCAGGGACTGGGGGATAGTGGCAGTAGTGGCGTGTGGGGTGTAGGGACTCGGGGGACAGGGGCTGCAGTGGTGTGTGGGGGTGCAGGGATGGTGGGACAGGGGCTGCAGTGGGGTGTGGGGGTGCAGGGACTCGGGGGACAGGGGCTGCAGTGGGGTGTGGGGGTGCAGGGATGGTGGACAGGGGCTGCAGTGGTGTGTGGGGGTGCAAGGATGGTGGACAGGGGCTGCAGTGGTGTGTGGGGGTGCAGGGATGGTGGGACAGGGGCTGCAGTGGTGTGTGGGGGTGCAGGGACTGGGGGACAGGGGCTGCAGTGGGGTGTGGGGGTGCAGGGACTCGGGGGACAGGGGCTGCAGTGGGGTGTGGGGGTGCAGGGATGGTGGGACGGGGCTGCAGCGGGGTGTGGGGGTGCAGGGATGGTGGGACAGGGGCTGCAGCGGGGTGTGGGGGTGCAGGGACTGGGGGACAGGGGCTGCAGTGGGGTGTGGGGGTGCAGGGACTGGGGGATAGTGGCAGTAGTGGCGTGTGGGGTTTAGGGACTTGGCGGATACGAGCTGCAGTGAGGTGTGGGGTTTAGGGACTTGGGTCGGAGGTCACTGCTGGGGACGTCCCGTTTCAGGGCTCCGGACTCCCGGATCAATCCGCACAGCCCACCGGCACCCAGACCAGCAGGCCGAGGCGGCTCCCCGGCAGCCCCAGAGCCCCTACTTACCCGCCCGCCTGCTGACGCCACACCGCCGCGACGCTGCCCGGAAGCGCGCCCTGGCTGGGGCGGGGCGAGGAGCTGAGCGGCGCGGGGCGGGGCAACAGCGAAGCCAGCGTTGATTGGCTGAGCGCCCGCCACGACCACGTGCGCCCAGCCACTGTCGTAGACCAGTTCGGCTCCTGCCCGCCCAGTCCCGCCCCTCCACCGCGCCTCCGTCACTGGGTCCCACTCCTCCCCTTTCTCCGCCCACTCCTTGCCAGGTCCAATGGGGGGCGGGCTTTCTGACCCCGCCTCCCGAAAGCGCTGCGCCTCCCCGGAAGCGAGCTGAGGTGCTGTCGGTGCAGCAGTGGAAAGGTTCCCCAAAGATCGGTGTGACTAAAGGGGCCGACGCAATCGCTCAACAGCCTAATCCTTCCCCCGATGGCGCTAACTTCCCGTATGGGCGCCGGTTCGAGTCCCGGCTGCTCCACCTCCCACCCAGCTCCCTGCCTGTGGCCTGGGAAAGCAGGGGAGGACGGCCCAAAGCCTTGGGACCCTGTACCCGCGTGGGAGACCTGGACGAGGCTCCTGGCTCCTGACTCTGTATCCGTTTATTGTTAGGATCCCCATAGTGGGTGTAATCGCTCCAAGCTACCGGCTCGGCTCCGGTGGCAGCTCGCCCGCCGCGAAAGCGCATGCGCCCGCCCTCACGCACGCGCGCACACGCGGAGTGAAGCTTGTAGGAGTCCGGGCACAGGTCTGAGATCCTGTCCCAGACGCCCGTTCGGTTGTCAAGACAACAGGGGGCGGGACGATAGCGCCGCCGCCGCGTCTTCATCTTGATCGGTTGCCCATGGAGACCGGTGGGCGGAGCTTTTTGGACTTGCTGTGGATTGGTTGGTTCAGGCTGCAGTGCGAGCCCAACTTTTCTCCGAAGTTGGCAGACAGCGGGAAGGGATGACTAATTCCGTTCTTTCCGAAAGGGGTCATCGCAGGATCTCTTAAAATAGACCACTTCCTCAGTGGCCTGGAAATGATGCGCTTTCTGTCCAGAACCCATTCAGGCTCCGAATCTTCCTCCTTTCTCTACTGTTTTTCTCCCCAACAGACGGAGCCTTGCAGGCTAGGCGTCCTGGAGTGGGTTGGATGCAGCCTGGCTCTGGGGATCCCTCCCTTAACTCATCAGTGAGAACCAGAATTTTACTCTCTTTGCATGAAAGTTGTTTGTGTCCCAGCTGCTGGTTGTGCACACAATCTTTTTTTTTTTTTTAAAGAAAGATTTATTATTATTTTTATTGGAAAGGCAGATACACAGAGAGGAGGACAGAGAGGAAAGATCTGTCTGCCAATTCACTTTCTAAGTGGCTGCAAGAAACCGGAGCTGAGCCAATCCGAAGCCAGGAGCCAGGAGCTTCTTCCGGGTTTCCCACGCGGGTGCAGGGTCCCAAGGCTTTGGGCTGTCCTCCACTGCTTTCCCAGGCCACAGGCAGGGAGCTGGGTGGGAAGTGGAGCAGCTGGGACAGAAACTGGCGGCCAAATGGGATACTAGAGTGTTCAAGGGGAAGACTTTAGCTGCTAGGCTGCAGCACTGGAGCTGAAAAAGAGGTTTTTATGACATGGATATCTGGCTCAAGAAAAGAGACACATAGCAGAGGTTCCTGGATAAAACCCTGAGGCCCTGCGAGAGCTTCTCTTGCGGTTTCTGACATGCGTGGGTATTCTCGGCTCTCTCCATGCCTCTGCCTGACCTGCTGTTGAGCGCCAACTTGGGCCCTCCATGGAGATATGAGTGGGCCCTTGTGCTCACAGCACCCCTCGGCCTCCCAGGGCCCCCATCTTGTATACCCCCATGCATAGGTCAGGAATGGACTCTGGGTCACGGCAGGGGCTGCGCCTCTGCCCAGTCCAGCCTAGCCCAGCCAGGCTGCCGCTCCAGGATCCTGAGGCTAGAAATAGCTCTACACAGCCCCGGCAGCTCCCGGCAGAAGCCTATTTTTAGGACAGGAGACAAGGAGACAGGAAAATGTGACCAAGAGTCACCTCTAAGGGGCAGCCAATCCCTTCAGCTGGCTCAGAGAGGGACGCAAAGACTCAAACTCAGGATGCCCACAGTCATGCTTGTGGGGGTCCAGGGAGACCCCCGGCGCTGCAAGGTAGGCGCACGGAGGCCACAGACCTGCTGTGCAGCCTGCACACCTGGGTTCCTGGGTAAGTCTGCCCCCAGCATCCCAGTGACTGTCAGCAGCTATAACTCCGCCCCAGTAGCATCAGGCCTTACCTAGTGGCGGACCGGACCTGGGGGGGTTAAATACGCTATTCTAAAGATGACATTAATTTACCTGTGTCTCATTGATACCCACTGGACCTGAAGGCAATGTCATGCCACGCGTCTTCCATCCACTGATTCCCAAACACTCAAGTGGTCAGGCCTGTCTCAGGCCAACGCCAGGGACCAGGTGCCCCAGCCAGATCTCCCAGGTGGGTGCCAGCAGAGGAAGACCCCAGACCTTGCACCGGTTCAAGTTCCAGCTGCTCGACTTCCAACCCGGCTTCCTACTGGCGCATTGAAAGGGCGGTGCCTCGAGTGCTCGGGTCCCTGTCACGGACGTGGGTGACTCAGATGGAGTTCCAGGTTCCTACCTTCAGCCTGGCCCAGCCAGGAATGAACCAAGGGATGGGAGTTCTCTCTGTCGCTCCATACTTTTTTTTTCTTAAAGATTTATTTATTTATGTTTATTGCAAAGTCAGATATATAGAGAGGAGGAGAGACAGAGAGGAAGATCTTCCATCCAAGGATTCACTCCCCAAGCGACTGCAACATGTAGAGCTGAGGCGATCTGAAGCCAGGAGCCAGGAGATTCTTCTGGCTCTCCCACACAGGTGCAGGGTCCCAAGGCTTTGGGCCGTCCTCCACTGCTTTCCCAGGTCACAAACAGGGAGCTGGATGGGAAGTGGGGCTGCTGGGATTAGAACCAGTGCTCATATGGGATCCTGACATGTTGTAGGCGAGGGCTTTAGCTGCTAGGCCACCACGCCAGGCCCTAAATAAATAGATATACATTTTAAATGCACAATAATAGTGCAGGGGGTGGATCCATATCGTTTGCAGGTTTGGTATTTGCCAGCTGGCCTGATCACAAATACTATTTGTTGGGAGGAAGGAGACGGGGCATGGTGGGAGTGTGAGAGGGAGGCAGGCGACGTGGGAGGCATCACCATGCTCTTAAACGTGTGTACATGAAATACATGATACACACTCCCTTATATGCAAATTCTTTAACAAAAATCATTTTTGCCCGCACATCATCACGGGGGCCCCGTGGGACGTCACATTCACAAAGGTGGGTGCCACAGGGCGGAAAGCTCACGTCCAGCTTTGAGGTCAACCCAGGCCACGCCCTGCGGCTTCCATCTGGGTTGTGCGGGGACACAGACAGAGCCTGCAGGCGGGCGGCAGGCGGCAGGCTCGGGCGAAGGGACCAGTTGGACCGGGTTGGTGAATCCCGAGTCTGCCATCTGTTCGTGCGTGCGGAGGCCTCGGGCAAGGCGCCTCACGTGGTCAGGCTTTCTGTTGTTCTCTTCAGAAAAGGAAGTAGGACCCATCCGATGAGCTGAGTTTAGGATCTGTGAATCCGGCTGAGAGGGAGCGTGGATTTGCAGGTGGATTCGTGGCAGATCCATAGCTCACGGAGAGACGGATGCGTGACAACTTCCAGCTACACGGAGAGTACGTAGGCAGAAAGAAACTCCGAGAATGCATACAGATGGGTGAGATATACATGACAGGAGGAAGAAGCGAGAAAAATGTGAGGCCAGCGCGGTGACAGAGCAGGCTAATCCTCTCTCTGTGGCACTGATATCCCAAACGGGTGCCAGTTCATATCCCGGCTGCTCCGCTTCCCATCCCGCTCCCTGCCTGTGGCCTGGGAAAGCAGAGGAGAACAACCCCAGGCTGTGGGTCCCTGCACCCGCGTGGGAGACCCGCAGGAAGCGCCTGGCTTCATTCAGCATGCTGTTGTCACCAACTGGGGAGTGCACTGGGAGATGGAAGGTCTCTCTCTGGTTTTGTAACTGATTCCTATAAGTACAAACCTGCATCTTTCTCTTTGAAGACATGGAGATGCCAGTTCAGGCGTCCATGTCCACACGAGTCCCCCGAGTTTGAGATCCAGCCCTGGCTGTGGACTCCAGCTCCCTGGTCACGCACAGTCTGGGAGCAGCAGGTGGTGGCTCGGTCCCTGCCACTCACACACATGAAGACATGGGTCAAACTCCTGGCTCTTGCATCTTCATTGTGGCTCCAGACACAACGGCTGCGGGCGTCTGGGGTTCTCTCTCACGGTCTGTGATATGCGTGTCTCTCAAATAAAACGTGCAAAGATAAAACACACGCAGACATGTTCATGTCCAGATTCGATAGGGTTCTCGAGGGAATCAGAGCCGGTAAGACATGCAGGCTTGACTGGATTGGTTTCTCAATGGAGGAAGAGTGTGATGATGAGGTATTGGGGTTCGAGTCCCCGTTCCCCTTCTGACGGGGCTGATGTACTCCCTGGTGATGGGCAAGGACTTGGGTCCTGCACCCACATGGGAGGTTTTGACAAACTTGGCCCTCACCTGCTGCCTCCCGGGGTGTATTAGCAGAAAACTGAGTGGGAACCACAACAGCTGGGACTTGACCCAGGGTTCCTGAGTGATGCTGGCATCCCAGGCGGCCTTTTAACCCACTGCACCACAGTGCCGGCTCCTGGGCCGGAGGGCTTTTGGAGGAACCAGCGCGGACGCTGGTCTCTAAGCTGGACACTTGTGCTCTTGATTCTCAATGCGTGTGATGCTGAGATGCCCCACGGGGGCTGTGCCTGGCCCGCCACCGTGAGCTGGTCCCCAGGCAGCAGGTGACACTCAGGCTGGACCATGAACAGGAGACTGTCCTGATGGGTGCAGGGGAGCGTGAAGGACAGTGGAAGGGGGCTGACGTTCAGGGAATTCCCCCAGGGACTCGAATCGTCCAAGATCCCAGCCCAGAAGGAGCTGTCAGAATTGCTGTATTTCATTTCACTTCATTAAAAATAGTCGTGTTTA